GTGGTTTTAGTGGTGTTGTTGTTGTTGTTTTTGGTGGTGGTGCTGGTCGTGACGGCCGCGGCGGCGGTTGTGGTGGACAATGGTGTTATTAGTGGTAGTAGTAGTAGTAGTAATAATAATAATAATATTAGTATTGGTGAGGTTAGGGCATGCCTGTGAATTCGCCATTTCGACTCAGTTAGTGCACCTTGCAGATGACCAGATGTCGCCTTATGAGTTTGCCAGCTGAGAGTCCATTGTAGCTGTATCTGCTGCTGTAGCTGCTGGTCACTCACAACACTTATCACTTCAAATGAGTTGGAATAGATTAGGTCGAGCGGGAATCCAAGTGTGCTTATTGCACATGGAAACGAAACGCCAGATTTCGTTTCCAGTTATTAGCCAATCAGTTAGAATAGTGTCACGTTAAAATAAATATGATGCCTCCTTAAACAGTGAAGGCGTCTAGATTTTGAAGCTATTACCTACTCAAATGTATTTATCGTCTTGAAAGATATCAAGGTTTGGGTATTTCATTCTTGATTTAGCGCCTTCATCATAGCTAATAACCAAAATCTTGTCACATCTTGACGCTAGAGAGATGGCGCCAAATACTTGATCGGATATTCCAACAAATTTCGGATTCCCACTCGAAAACGTCAGGCCAATTTACTTTTCGTTCAGCGATTGTATCTTCCTTTTTGAACTGTTTCCTGGAATTCTCATGTTCGCTTCACTCAGCAATTTAAATTGGATTGCAAGAGAAAGAGAAGTAAAGGCGGCAAAAAATTTGAGGTAAGTCTGGTTTGGTAATAAGCCTGGACAATGAAGTTGTGGAACGTCGATATTCAAGGACTCGACTATCAACCAAAGGTGCGTGCCTATTCCTCTCAATGAGCATAACTAAGGCAAGTACGCGGGGTGTATGATGTCAAATTTACATCTCCGTCTCACCACTTAGATAATGGTCCTGATCTCTGTATGCTAACTAGGTTAGATGGACTTGGGATGTAAGCTCAGGCGGTATACGAAATTATGTTTTTTAATAAAGTCTTTTTGTTCAACTTCCCTAA